GGATGGATGGATGGATGGATGGATGGATGGATGGATGGATGGATGGAGTCCCAACCCCAATGTTAAGAACCACTAGAAATTTTCTAATTAACTAAAAGAAAGTGCTATTATTGTTGTGGAACAGCAGCAATTTTATTAATCACAAAATGGTTAAAATTTGCTTGATTTGCTTTCTCAGTAAGGACACTAACAGGTACAGGTTGAGAATGGCCATCACAATTTATTTATTTAAAAACATGAATGTTAGTTCAAGTTCAATTACCTTTATTGTCATTCACATCACATGTGATACATGAGGTGGAACGAAATTGTACACTCATGGTCCCAGTTACGTCCAAAAATAGCAACAATATAAAGCATAAAAAGAAAGGATCTAAGATATATGCTAACGAACGCTAAACAATACACTAAAAGATCTAAGACATAGGCTAAACACTAATAATGTAAAATTGGACAGGGAAGGGAAGTCTAAGATCGTCATCATTGTATGTTCCCATACAATGACATAATGAGTTCTCTGCATTTCACCCATCACACCTGAGATGCACCCAGGTGGAGCAGTGGGCAGCTATATAGGCACTCGGGGAGCAATTAAGGATTAGGAGTCTTGCTCAGAGATAACACGACATGTGGGAATGGCTGGGAGTTGAACCACAACTTTCTAGTCCCAAAACGGTTGACTTGTGCATGACTGGAGACCCCCGAAATACAACTCAGAGAAAGCAGCACTGCTCCTCCTCTAATTTTCTATGCATTAAATTGTAGCATTCCTGCTTATTTCTTAATTTTTACAACACAAAATGTTTTGACAACAACTGGCAGCAGCACCTGAGGATATCTGTGACTCATCTGGTGGTAATACATATATTTTGTGAACTCTGATATCGATGTTCCAAAGGGATCGAAACCTAGATGGACTTTGCATTGTGAAAGTGTATTTCTCAATTTCTGGTCTTTTTTTACACACGTGTGTCACTGAATCAAGAACACAGGAGCCAGACCACCATGTTTAAATATGTATCTACTGCATGTGACTGTGCATGTCACATGACTAAAGGTGGCATCTTACTGGGCTGCAACTGTTGGGGACCAGTGGAAGCCACAACATTGCAAATATATGCAAATTTTCATTTAAAACTACAACGAGCACCTCATTTACACAGACTCAAGGTAAAAGTTGGGTCAAAATTTGCCAAAAGGTCATTTGGTTCACTTATGTTCACTTAAATGAAAAATGCAGCTTCAAAATTATTCATCCATTTTCTTAACCCCCTTTTTTTTCTTGGTCGCTGGGGGAGCTGGTTCCTATCTCCAACGATCATTGTGCAAGTGGTGGGGTAGCCCTGGACTGGTCACAAGTCCATCACAGGGACAAATAACCATTCACTCTCACACTTATATTTAGGGACAATTTAGAGTTACCAATTAACCCGACATGCATGTTTTTGGTCTTTAGGTAGAAACCAAAGTACCCAGTAAAAACTCACCTATGCACGAGAAGAACATACAAATTTCACACAAGAAGGCTGGGAGAGAAACCAGTTGCTGTAAGGTAACAATGAAACCCAATGCCCTGCCATGCTGCCCAGCTCTAGAACTACAGAAACCAAACAGAAAAGCTTATGACAGGTTCCAGATGCCTGCCACGATTCTTAGAAACAACAGTGGGAGATAATTTGTCTTGCAAACTTTAATATGTTAAGAATTGGTAGCGCTGTTGCCTCTCAGTAAGAAGGTTGTTGGTTCAAATCCCAGCCAAAAATCTTTCTGCCTTTCTGGATGAAGTTTCCATGTTCTCTCCGTGCATGCATGAGTTTTCTCTGGTTTCCTCCCACAGACCAAAACATGCATGTTAGTTTAATTAGTAACTAAATTGTCCCTAGGTGTGAGTGAGAGAGTGAATGGTTGCTTGTCTCGTTTGTCTCTGTGTCCCTGTGATGGACATGTGACCTGTCCACGGTGTCCTCCACCTCTCGCACAGTGACTGCATCCCCACAACCTCGACCCAGAAAGGAAAAAAATGGCCAGTGGATGGATGTTCAAAATTCCAGCAACAGAAGAGCGAAGCCCTGCAACTCATGCGAGGAACCTGAGAACTTCCATAAATGTTTTGAGACCCCTTAGAAACTGTCTTGTAAATGCCAATCATGATTTGTTGCCAACAGCTCAGTGATATATGACAATTCATTCAACTTTTATTTATACAGGTTAGTCTCACTGAGTCATTTACAAAAGAGACAATAACTTCCATACTGCAGTATTCAGTGGTGTAGTCTATGTGACACGCGGGCACATGGAGTATACCCACTAGAAAAGCTTGGGAATTTCAGTATACCCACTTAAAAGTGACTAATACAAGCCCATGTCATATAGGCTATAATTGGCAATGATACATGACATGGGCTTGTGTCATTGCCAATACATTTGGAACATTTTATAGACACGTTGAGTTGGTTCAACCTGTTTTTTGTATAATTAATTTGTCTGTACTTACTACTTAATACTTGAACGTGTTTTGCTTTAATACTGTTTTATAAATTCTATAACATGTTTTTAATACAAAGCCAACTGTTGTACAAAGTTTGTTGTTCATTTATTCGAATAAAAGCATCAGAGAAATTTTGAAATGTTCAATACGCTTAAAAAAAAATCAAAATAAATTGCTGATTACATTGTACTAAGCAGTGTACTTTGGTTTCTAAGCACAGTATACCCACTATAAAAATGTAGACTACAATGGCAGTATTTTCCAAAAAGTCTATATATATATATATGACAAAGGCCATGATAAAAGTTCTGAAATTCTAATGTCTTTTGGTTTTGGTGATTCATCCCAAGACTATCGGGAGCCCTCATTTGGCCACCCTTTTGTAAAACTTTCTATGAGCGCCCCTGCTTCTCACATGTGCAAGTTTACAATTTTTCATTTTAATTTATGGGACACATTTTGTTGGGTATTCACACAGTTTGGAGGGTATTTTTGCACGAAAAGCAAACATAAGGAGCTCCTCGTGTCTCCATATGACCAGCTGCGCCGCTGACCGCAGCTCATATAAGATCTGACTTGTTTCCTGTGTGACCAACCTTCAATCAGAGGAGACTTGGAGAGGGTTCTTCTGTCCTCAGGGAAGGAGTCCAGCAGTTTTCTAAGCAGACGCCCCAGATCGGAATAACTCCTGTGTAAGTATAAGATGTTCCTGTCGGACCACTCGGTCCGGATCTCAAAGAACTCCTCTTCCTCCCCGCGCTGGCTGATGATGAGTCTCCGGGTCCCGTTGACCCAGCAGTCCCGGACAAACATGTTGACCAGAGACGTCCCTTCAAACACAGCTGATGCCATTCCTCAGTGCGTCAAAGCGCGAGACATGCTGGAGCAAAACTCTGCTGAACCAGCTCAGCTTTCCCCCCTCAGAAAAGCGCATTCCAGCCTCAGAAATAAAGAGGAAGAAGAAAAAACTGGAAGAAGTTTGTTGTGAGCGTCAGACAGCTGCAGCTGAGGAGAAAAACAGGAGGAGGAGGTTTGTTCAGCCCATCAGGCGTGATCTCTAACGTGGCATGACTTGGAGGAAAAAGACCAGAGACAAAGAAACTCCCACCAAACTGATTTCACAACATTCATCATAAATTATCCATTTGTTGGAGAGGAAAAGAGAACTAAAGTTGTTATAATCTCCCTCTTTTTGTGTGGACTATTCACAAAGTCTGAACTTTTTAAATCAGCTGTTGCTTTTATTTTCTGCACATTTCCCTCCACTTCCTCTCTTCCTTCCTTCCTCCTTGACAACAGCACATATGCATGGAATGCAAAAGTCTGCAAAACACTGTCCCTCTGTTTAACTGCACATCTCTTTCTCATCAACTCTTTATTACTGACCTTATACATAATGCCAGTGCTCCCAAAGGAACAGCTAAAAGTCCTAAAACAACTTCAGATTGGATTTAAACTGGCAAGAATGTTTTATTGTGTTTTGTTTTGCATTTTAGCTGATCACGCCTCTCAATCTTTTCATTTTATTTTAAACATTGTATACCCATTTCTCAGATTTTTCAAATCACGCTATTAGTTGGTTCTCTTAACTATCTCTCAGATCAGAGGTAATGTGTTCAACATAATGGTCTTTCTTCCAGCTGTTAACAATGGTGTACCACAAGGCTCAGTCTTAGGACCCACCCTCTTCACAATCTACTGTACATCAGATCATTCCTGATGCATCCTTACATTTCTATGCCGACGACACAGTTGTTTAATGTCGAGCTAAAACAGCTGCTAAGGTTCTCCATCTTTTACAGTCAGCATTTGACATTATCCAGTCAGATTTGTTCCGTCTCAAACTGGTGCTAAATGCAGACAAAACCAAAGGAATGTTGTTTTCAAACGGGAAGTCTGTCCCAGCAGTTCTTCCTTCTATTTTATCTTCAAATGGCGTTCCTATTGAGTTTGTCGATTATAACAAATACAGTACTTGGGTATCTTGGTCAATGTACGTTGAGTTAGTATAGTTAGTACAATTTCATCCATTTATGGTATTTTTCATTTTATATGCTTTTTTATGATTGTCTACTGTTGTCATCATTCTTTGTTAAAAACAGGTCTCTTTTGTAAATGAGTCCTTGAGGCTCAATGAGACTAATCTGTATAAATAATGGTTGAAATGAATTGAATTGCTTGGAATTTGTTGTGATTTTAGCTAAAATATTCATAAGAATAATGTGGACCAAAGACCCAGGACATGCACTTTAGTAAACTATCTTTAGATTCAAGTCTAAATGCAATGCAGAAGTTATAATTTTGATGTAACTTTAAAATTGAAATAAACATCAAAACAGTCTGCTACGTTTAAAAAAATACTACAGTTCTACTAAAACTAAGCAATCTTTATTAAAAATCATTTGAGTGCTACTTTGGTAGATCACTGACTTGAATTATTTTTAGACGTTTGTTTATTTAAGCATGTAAATCTATTTAAGTTTATATATCATGGTAAGTTGTGTAAGCCTTTGGATTTGGTTAAGATCACTGTCTGAATCAATAAATCTTATTTCAATTTATTTGCAAAAAGTCTGATCATTTGAGACCTATTAATTGATTTAACTAAAATTAAACACTTTAATTTTTAATTTATCATATTCAAACAATATCATCTTAAAACTAAAAAAAACTTGGAGCAATTTTCAACTCTAATTTCAGTCGTTCATGAAATTTGTAAAGTAGTTGTTTGGTTGTTAAAAAAAAAATACCTTAACGTCTCAGATAGAGAAAAATGTTGCTCTGGGTTTATACTAATTTAAATATTTGCATAAAGACAAAATTTTAGCCAAATGAAAACATCCAACTGTTTTCTCTTTGAACAGATTAACCCAAAGAGAAGCAGCTTGGTTCTGTATTTTATGTTTTTTATGTGGTGGAAGAGACAAATAAAACATTTTTAATGGAAGAAAGAAATGATCAAGGCAAGAAATGGCGATTCAGCTGTAATTATCAAATATGGAGAACAAAATTCTCCAAGCAGTTCTGGTAAAAGCACTACGACACAGGAAATAGTATGCTAATTGCAAGTAAAGTGTATGGAAAGATGAAAGTGCCCTCAAGATGAGGTCTAACAAATTTCTAATCTCTCGTGTAACGGAACGAATGGTCAATGCTGATAATTTCATTTCAATGACATATTCACGTTTGTTATGACAGATGCAAAAGCCACACATAAAAAAAAATTATGCACATTACAAAAACACAAAATGTCTGCCACAGTCAAGAAATTTCCAAATAATATATGGATTCTAGATAATGACTGGATTTTCAAGACGCTGTGTTTATTCTCATGATGAGATTTAATGCATCACCATGTAAATGCTCTGCAAGTAGTCACCTATTGGAAAACATGGGATTTATAAAGCTGTAAAATCTTCAGAAAGGTCTGTAAATACTAATTGATCTGCATGTTTATCTCTCAGCTGCTCTAACAGCAACTACGGAGCCCGGAGAGGACATAGGAGATTGGGGAAGTTTTTTTTTGTTTTTTTGTTTTTGTTTTTTTTGTGGCTCTGTAAATTCCAAAGGGGCCAAAGCAAAAAAAATAAAAAAAATAAAAAGACCACTGACTTTAAGAAAATGTATTAGAATAACCCACAACAAACCTTTTCCTTCTGAATTTGCTTTAACATTAACACTGCTCTTAATTTCACCTTTCTTGACATAAACTTCTATTGTCATCTGCAAGCAGCAGCCAGCTGTAGCACTTTAGGTCCAGCCTGGGGTGCTTCACGATGTTTGCACCAGAATAACCTTCTAAACTGGTGTCTGTGTAAAGGTTTGTAAAGTTTGCATGAACTGCAGTTTGTATATATTTATTTTCAAACATTACAAACCTTGTCCATGGCCATGATCAGACTAAAGATTATGAATCATATTTAAGCTGCAGTGGTTCATTGTAGTACATGAACCAAGCTTCATCTGCAGGGCTAAGCACTGATCTGTATCATTGAAGTGGCTGAAATTATACCGTGGGATGAAAACCCTGGTGATGCCGTGTTATGATAATGTGCTGTGAGGTGCAGGTTTATGTATAGCTGTAGATAAATGCACCTAGAAGAACGTGTTGTTTTTCTATTGTGTTGTTTTTGGATGACATACAAGTAAATTGATTAAATCAAATGTGTTTGGTGCAGGTTTGCAGGTTGGTCCTGCTTTAATGACAAAGTTCAATGTTTGTAGATAGCAACAATAGTTTTCAGAGGAAAAAATAAGAAAAGATAAGACTAGTAAATTGTGTTTATATATCATGCAAGCATTTTGTATTTTCACAAAATACTCAATAATAAAGTCCACATGTTATTGTTGGGTGGCACGGTGGCGCAGTTGGACTTCTCAGTGAGGAGGTAATCAGTTCGAACACCGGCCGGGGGGACATTTCTGGGATGAGTTTGCATGTTCTCTCCGTGCATGGCTGGGTTTTCTCTGGGCACTCCAGTTTCCTCCCACAGACCAAAAACATGCATGCTAGTCTGATTGGTAACTCTAAATTGTCCCTAGGTGTGACTGACAGAGCGAATGTTGTCTCCACGTGTCCCTGTGATGAACTTGCGACCAGTTCATGTTCCCCACCTCTCACACAGTGACTGCTGGATATAGGCACCAGTGACCCCCGTGACCCAAAAAGAAAGAAGCGGGTAAAGATAGATGGATAGGTCGAAAAATGGATGGATGGATGTTATCGTTTTCAGGCTTGAACCATTTTCTTGAATAAGAGTCTTCTTCAAGAAAATGGTTCAAGCCTGAAAAAAATAACACTGTATTCTTAGAAGACACTGTTATTTTTTTCATGAATGTAATATGGTGCACGTTTTCTTTGATGCACATGATTAGCATGATCATATTGCATACAAACTACAAAAGACCTCAGTATTATCAGTATAACGCACTGTTTTTGTGTTCGAGCAGGGCTTCAATGTGCTGCTTGACCACATTTACAGAGTCGGCACATTCTGCCTCCGTACCTCAAACCAATGGTATTCGTTGGAAGAGGACTTGATGTGGAAACACTTTTGCCAACTCAACCTCTTAGACCATTTTCATCTACTTTTTTTGGCGTTTTCTCAGTCAGAACTGACTAGATGCCAAACCAAAGGGGAAAGGAAACTGTTGTAGACCTATGGGTCACCCTGCAGGGAGCAGTTTGGTGAGATTAGGGGGTTAAAACTTTGACATTCAGAACATTTAGTAATGATTTAAATGGAAAAGTTAGGCAATAGCTACTAGGCTTTGCTGAGTTTGGATTTTTTTTTTCATGAAGCAGTTCAAGATAAATTCAGGATTGCAAGCTGTGTCCAACTTAGTTTTTAGTGTTTAGCTGTGTTTTTTTGTAGCATTCGCACAAATAAAACTAAATAATTTGCAACGTGTTCGGTATGGGTTTATTTTCATCCCTGTGGCCAATGAAAATACAATTATCAGCTATCTTTAATATTTTAAAGTTTATTTTTTTGGAAAAGAGAACTGCTTCCTGTTGTTTCTGTAATATAAGTAGAAATTACATGTAGACCCTCACACGGCCGAGCCATACCTTTGTGAAGCTATATCAAAACAGTCATGTTTTCACTGAGCGGAAGAAGAAAGAATGAGTTGTGGACGTTCATGTGAGGAAATGAAGAAAGCTTTTCAAGAACTAATCTCAGCCTTGAATATATTCAAGGATTCAAGGATTCAAGGTTCTTTATTTGTCATTCGCAACACATGTGGTACATGTGGTAGAACGAAATTATGTACACAGGGTCCCAGTTACATCCAACAATAAAATGTAAAAGAAAAACAGTAATAAGGTCTAAGATATGAACTAAGAAAAACGTCAACTAAATATACACTAAGCACAAGTAGTATAAAAACATTACGCCGAACAGCAGCACAAACATGAGTCTCTGTGAGTAGATGAGCACGAATGAACACATCAACATGAAACAGATCAGCAGCAACA